AAGTGCGAGCTTTAGATAGAAAAGTGCTAAAAGCTCAGCTAGAATATCACAATCGGTTATTTACTTTAGCCAAAAAATTGAAATAAATTTAAATTATGTACTTTAATTTATGTAATGTACACAAAAAAGGGATACCAAAGAATAAAACTCTATCTTGGTCCAAACATTACATATTGTCATTTATAAATACTGAATGTTTTTTGTATTTTGAAATTGCATCTTGAGAAATAAAAAAGAGTATTATCTCGAAAGTTATACGAAATAACGAATGTTCTATATATTCTAAATTCAATTTTTGCAATAATTCGTATTAATTGCAATAAAAATGATGGTGAAAACGTTTCTTTGTCTACTGATTCATCATGTAGGTCAAATATCATACAAAAATGTTTATATTAAACATGAATGAAAATTATAAATTGCAATCTGTATTACAAATTATTATTTGCGCCTTTTGGTTTTACATCACATCTACTGAAATAATACATACTGAATGATTATGAAATATAAACTATAATAATCGACTTATGTTCCATCCTAAATATATGGACTATTATTATAATCTTCAGTATTTGTTCTACAATTAAATCATTTTTTGTATGCCTTCAATGGAATGGAGACCATTAGACCAACTTTATGCAAAGTTATATTAAAATCGTCAAAAAAAGTCATCAGTTGAAAAAAAAAGTTATTTTTAAGAAAAGGTCCAGCCGATCGATACCAAAACCTATAATCACTACAATTCCCACTGATATCTTTCAAACAGTTTTGGAATTTTCTTAGTAGATTCAAATTTTTTTTGTCAAGAACGCAGTGGCGGATCCAGCTTCGGCGCCAGGGGGGGGTCATAATTGAAAAGTTTTTAGTATGTAACAAATTTAATATATATATATATATATATATATATATATATATATATATATATGAGATAGAGCGGGGCTTAAAGATCCGCAGGTAGAAAGGTCTATCACCGATATCTCAACAAAAACAAGTAAAGTTTTAAAGATTTCTTAACAACAATATTTGAAAGTAGAGGGAAAAATTGTACAACCAGCCATCCCATTGATTCTTACGACGTTTAAAAAAGCATTTTTACAAGAGATAAATTAAATAAATATTTTTTCCAACTCTGCTGATGAATATTTTGGGCAAAATACCAAATCAAGGTTATATACAGAGTCATCTTTGTAAAAAATTTATCCATAAAAGTTATATTTTGCCTTGGCTGAATAATGTTCCTATTATTTCGTTAAATGCCATTAAAATTAAAAATAATATATTAGATTGTTTGTTCTCTCGTCGTCCGATTTTACCGCGCCCATGGTGTAAAAAAAAACAAGTGACAAATTTTGAAAAACAGCAAAAAACACATTTCTACAGTAATGAGATAGCTGGGAGATGTACTAAACATAAACATAAACATAGTCAGATAGTTCTTTGTTCAATGTGTCTTATTTGTTATGTTTTTCGTTTAGTTTTCACAATATAATTGCTCATAATTAATTTGGACCCTCCTTACATATATATGCATTTTTTTAAAAATAATCTGCGACTTTGATGTGGTTCAATATTTGACCTTTGATTAGTTTTGTGAGTCGATTGGTTGATCCGATTCTTTACTATTGGCATAAAAGTGCAAAAATTATCGTCCATGTTTTTGTCAAAAATTCTTAACCGTTTTAATAAATGGTTTTTTGAGAAGATCGGCCAAATTATTTCTTTTTCATAATAGATTGTTAATTTTTTTGTGATTTTAGTGAAATTTTGCATGGCGATAGAGATTTTGTTCTAAATGAACATACTAAACTATATTAAGGCCAGTGACAAGTGGTTTACTTATGATAATTAAAGTTTGGATTATTTGGCCGCGCTTTTAGAAAATTTTCACCGCGCGAAATACATATTCCGCTCAGTATTTCGTATGTGTTCGTTTTCCACCAATGTATAATGTTTAAACCATAAATGATCGACTTAATCAATAAAAAATAAATTTAAACCGTAAATGATCGACTTAATCAATAAAAAATAAATTAACTTATGAGTGGTTAAAAGTATTCCGGGTGGATTTATTACACATAATTGAAAAGAACGAATACGTTAACGAAAATACTCCGAATTTTCTAAAAGCAAATTTTCAAAAATCAAAAATTTTCGTAATTGAACCAGTTTCCGTAGGACTTTAATGGTTAGTATATTTATTAAGAACAAGTACTCTATCGTTATAGCAAGTAAATCGTCTAATTTTAATTTAAAAAAACGTCAAAAAACTACTTATTTTCTCAAACTTTGATAAATTTTTAAAATTAAAACTACTTGTCGTAAGGCCATAATAATTCAGTAAGTTGTATAAGACCATGATATATATTGCCAAAAAAAAATTCATAAAAATCGGCTTAATTTTTTTTTCAACAGTTAATTACAAGAAAATGTCTCGGTAGATTTTCACCTTCCCAACTAATTTCTTTCGAACAGTTTTTGATTTTTTAAAATCGATTCGGTGGTATAAGCTTAAATGTGGGCAAAAAGTTTAACACCTTTTTGCAAATTACAAAGAAACGGCTCGGTCGATCGTCGCACAAAACTGAGAAAAGATAATCCACATCAAAATAAATCGATTGGCTTTTAAATTTCTGAAATGGGTTCAGGCGGTTTTGAGCAAACGTCGATAAAAGATTTAATTTTGACAAATGCCAAAAAAACGATACTAATTTTTGCAAACTTTGACGAATTTTTAAAAATAAACGACTTGTCGTAGGATCGTGATATTTTAGTATGATCTATAAGCCTATGGTATCTACCGTAAATAGAAATTCATGAAAGTCGAAATTTTTTTTTAACACTTTATTACAAGAGAACGGCCCGGCCAAAAACTCATCAACACGATTTCCAACCAATATCTTTCGAACGGTTTTTGAATTTTCAAAATCGATTGAGAATTGCGGTCTGAAACGTGGACGAAAATCTTTTAACTTCTCTGCTATTTATAAAGAAACGGCTTGGCCGATTGTTGCACAAAACTGACAAACAATAGTCCTTATCGAGGGGCATCGAATGGCTTTTAAATTTTTGAAATCGATCTTTCAGTCTTTTTGAGAAAACGTCGATTTACGGCAAAAAATCTGTTCACACACACACGCACACTTTTCCAAATTAGATTTGAATGAAAAATCAGAATGGCTTGAAACGTCGAAAAAACATAAAATTAGCGAATCAGAAAACAAACTTCTCCTTCAGGAAGTTAAAAATAACTACTATATTAAAAAATTTGCATTAGTTTCTCACTTCAAAATAGTTTACAGCATTAGGTATACTTCTCTAAATTCATTATTTATATATTAAGTCGTTTATTTTACAGATGTTAGGGATTACAGAAAGTTCATGCCTAAGGCCCACTCACAATTAGCTTATTTTTTTTGATTTTTGAATGAAATTTTTTTCTCAAACTGTAATACCTAATTCAAAACTATGTATAGACTGATGATGATATATGTAATGATGAGATGATATATGTAAACTATGTATAGGTACATCATATATTCGCAATACGATTAGAAGATTCTTAAATTTTAGGAGTCTTTGACTCCGCCTTTCGTCTATAATAAGTTAAATATTCAAGTTATAAAAAGAGTTTGGTAACAAAATACATAAATAAAATCATTATGAAGTAATCTTGTTGTTGAATTAATGTTTTTATCAATGTACTAAAACAGGCTCAGGGGGGGGGGTCATGACCCCCGTGACCCCCCCCCTGGATCCGCCACTGCAAGAACGTTGATAAACAACGTTGTATTTAACTGCAATTTTCAAAGAAACGACTTTGCCGATCCCTGTGTAAGACAAGTCAACGTGAGTCCTTGTCTTATTTTATCAAATAGCTTTTAAATTTGGAGAAAAGGTTGTCGAAAATTCAAATTTTAGCTTACAACCATACATAAAATTTTTCCTTCATACATAAAATTTTTCCTTTTTCATTTCTGGAAATTTTTTGTCAAACGATTCTGATTGACTTGAAATGTCGACGAAACATAAACATCACTTTTGTGAATTTAATAACAATAATAGTAAATTTACATAATACTGAAGATACTAACAACTATACTAACTATAGCTGGATGCATAAAATTTAACAAATTATGGTCATATTTTTTTAAATAGCTATTTTTTGTATATTTTTAACTTCGCGTAGGATAAGTTATGGCAATCGCAAAAAAATCGAAAATAAAATTATTATATTAGGTTGTCAAATATCTCCCTTCCGCTTTTTTGCTCTTGGTTTATAATACAAAAAGGCGGAAAGGAGATATTTGACAACCTTATATGTCTTTACGTTTCAAAGGTCTCTGAATATTTTGGCATACCTTAGAAAAAATTGACGATTTCGGAAACACCGATCAACCAATTTGAATAATTCAAAAAACATTTAATTCGTATTGATAAGGAGTGCTGATTAGTATTAGTGCCAAAAACGTTAACTCAGTTTATAAGAGAACGGACTGTCCGATTTTAATAATTCAAAAAACATTTTACTTGTGTAGACAAGATGAAGAACTGATTACATTTTTGGGAAGGCAGGTCTAACGGTTATTGACTCTCCATAAAAATAAGTTAAAAAAATGTAATTCGGCGGTCAAAAATGTTTATTGGACATATGTACATCAAATTATCAGATATTTTATAGAAATTTTAATAATGTGTACACATTTTGTGTAATTTTTTTGGGGTTCCGTACTAAGATTTTTAATTACAGTACGGGAAGTTCCAGGAATTTGCCTTAAGGCACGATGCACGATGCCATGGAGACTCCACTAGTTTTTGCATTGCTTTCAAGTTGTACTCGTATATACTGATCGTACAACAAATTACTAAAAATTCTTCAAACCTTTGTCCATAATTTCCAAAAATAACTTAAATCCTATCAAAACAACTCCTCTCCCAACCACCTATAATATACCTATCCTTTATCTCGATCCTTCATAAACCAGACAGTCAATTGATTTCAAATGACAGATTTTATCACAAATTTCCTGGTTTCCCCTTTGTACCGGAACAATGGTACAAGTGGACTGTAATGAGTGCTTGCATGTACAAAGGACCCCAAGCGACATATGCGCATCGGCTGTGTTTAAGGTTTAAGGTTTTAGGTTTTAGGATTTAGATTTTAGGTTTAGGGCACACTAAAGAGACCGGCCAGGGTGCTGACATATGGGGATTACGGGAATTAGACGGTGGCCCAGGGTGAGACCAATCATTTGACACTAATATTCATTGTTGAGGGCGTACTGGAGTTAACACGTACATGGATATATACATACATCATACATGTATATATATATATATATATATATATATATATATATATTAGGGTGGTCCTTAATATGGATATTTTCGAATTTTCTCAATCCCAAGGGCTTAGCTCTTAATATTGTCTTTTAGATAGAGCGCAATTCAAAGTTTTGTATGGGAATAAAATGAAAAAGTTTTCAAAAATTTTGCAGAGCGTCGAATTTTGAATAAAAATGACACGAATTTTCGCTTTTAATTCATTTGTCGCTAAGTTATACTAAATTTTTTTTTTTTAATTTTCAAAATGTTTTTCCATTCTATTTCCATGCGAAGTTTGATTGAATTGCGCACTATCTAAAAGTTAATATTAAAAGATAAAACTTTCAGAGAATTGTTTTTTATCAATTTTGAACCATTTGAGCCCTTGGGAGCAAGGTAATTCGAAAATGTCTATATTAAGGACCACCCTAGTATACATATATATATATGATTTAGTTGTTAATTTTGATGTTGAGATATATGAGTAAGTTCTTGTGGGGCGATACATCAAAGAATAAAAATCAAAGATTTATAAATTAATCTTTAATTCCAAACGTTTCGACATTCAATTTAATGTCATCATCAGTGTATATTACGTTGGTAGGTTACATCTAGAGAATTGTACACAACACTAGAAATTAGCACTAACATTTATACAACTAACTTGTTAACACCATGCATTTTTTATAATTTTTTGTATGATGTGAAAAGAAAAATGATAGTTTTATTTGAACAAAAATGTAAGTAAAGTTGACATAAGCCTCGGAACGCGCAAAGTACAGAAGTCATGGCAGAAATTACCTAACTTTACTTACATTTTTGTTCAAATAAAACTATCATTTTTCTTTTTACATCATACAAAAAATTATAAAAAATGCATGGTTTTGACAAGTTAGTTCTATAAATGTTAGTGCTAATTTCTAGTGTTGAGTAAGGCTCTGACTTAAAGCAGTAATGGGAACTTGTTCGAATAAACATACTTCATCTTTCTCCCTTTGGACCTTATGATAAAATTAGTATAGTTTGGTTGTTATGACGACTGTCACTAAAGTACCCTTTTTTATTTTGGATATAATTTACATCTGTCCAATGGACATTAGGTAAATTTTATGAATAACAAAATAACAAAGAAGCTGTCTGCAAAATAAACTATTGAATGCTTGAAAGAGTGCACAGTTGCAATCTCTCCTAATTTAAGAAACGAGAATGATCTAGATTGACCTGGAATGCCAGTTAGGTCCAAAAGCGTTTTCCTTTTTAATCTTTTGGTGTAGTTTGCTGAGATGAGTGCTTTGGCGAGAGTCATATTAATTAGCCAGCTCTTTCAATACGATCGACGGTTTAGGTATTCAGTTTATGAATAAACTTCCACTCAATATCTGAAATTTAGACAACAAAAAATATCATTCTTCCTTCCCTAGTTAAACTTTTTAAAGAATTAGCTTTCTATGACATTACTGAATTTTCTCAATTTGTTTTCAATAATTATTTTCTTGCATAATCCTTATTTTTTATCTATGTAGTCTGACCATTTGATCGCCTGTACAACCATATTTTTTATTGCTATTTTATTAATTTAAATTTTTACGCTTTTAAATGAGTATAACTTTCAACCTTGTGCAAGAATTTTGAGCTTGACTGGTGGTCTAATAGACTTTAATATGATGAACTAGATGATGAATATTGTATTTAATGTTCGAATGCTTTTTATCAGCTCTTTTGTGCAAAATTTGTGCAGCTACTATGACTATTATAAAATTACTTATCCTTTTAATATTAATTATGAATAAGCTTAACAAGAGCCTGAAAAAATATCTATTGTTATTGAGTACGGCTTGCCTATAAATAAATAAATAAATAAATAGTAAAATATGTAAAAATGTATAGAAATCAAATATTTTGTTTTCATTTTTATCAATTAAAATAACTTATGGTTTTTAATAACCCCATTAACTTTCCCTTATATTCTTTCCCCAGAAGCGATAGGAGCCTTCAAAAAACTAAAACCAGAACCCATATCAACGGGAAACGGCGGTTCCGTACTAAACCACCACTACCACCACAGTACAGGAGGAGCAAACTCGGTCACGACGTCCACCAGCGGCGGTTCGCTCAGTGGAAATTCCTTGACCGGAGCATCTTTAGGAGCCGGCGGCTTAAGCACAGGCTCACTAGGAGCCGGAGCTGGTCTGGCTGGCGGCGCGTTGGGCGCAAGTGGTACCTTGAGTGGTAGCACGCTAGGTGCCGGAGGTGCCTTGAATCATTTGACGTCGAGCGGAGGCAGTTCAGCAAGTCAGTGTCCCACGCCGGCAAGGCGGAGGCATCGGACTACGTTTACCCAGGTAATGAATGGATTTTTTGAACTGTTTGTTTTATATGATGACGTACGTACATTACATCCTAAAATAAAATATATTTTTTAACTAATTGTTTTATATGACATACTTTTAGCCTTTAGCAAAATACATTCTTCAAACTAATTGTTTGGTATGCCAATAGCTAAATACATTTTTTGAACTAATTGTTTATATGAAGTAAAAATACAGACTAAATGTCTAAACAAAACTTGAAGGTTTTACTGAATGTTTACAGTTGAATTATAACATAGTAATAAGATTTCTCAAACTTGGCAATAAAAATAAAATTAAGTAATTGAATATATCTTATATATAAAAATGAATCGCAAAATGTGTTGGTATTACCAAAGCGCATAACTCAACAACGCCAGGACCAATTTGGCCAATTCCTTTTGTAAAATGTTCGTTGATGTCCAAGGATGGTTCTTACGGCGAGAAAAAATCGAATAATTGCTGGAAAAACCCTAAAAACAGCCCTTTTCTTTTTCTCATACAAACGTTTTCTACCTAAAACGTAGAATCAATTTGAGCTTTATTGCTATTAAAGTTCATATTAAATTACAAGCACTCACTGAATACTCCTTCTACTAAACGATTATTCGGATTTTGGTAAATCTTTCTGAAGTTTGTTAAGGAAATTTTCTATGATATATGTGGTTATAAAGTACTGGGATGTATGTGCAATATTATAGAAATACGAGTAAATGGAAAAAATTGCAGAAAACGACATGCTATTGTTTGCATTGAAAATGAATGAAAACTATCATCTGCCAAAAATTTCAATTTACTTATAAACCTAGACAATATTAGAATATGTTTAATAAATTTATGATTATGAAAAAAAAATGAAATGTCTAATTATCAACATTATTATTGCCAAAAAGCAGCTGAGATGTGCCAGAAATTAATATAATATAAGATACAGTATATGTATGGCAGATTGAATGATACACATATGAACAGGATATGACAAATTAATTCACTTAAAATATGATATTAAGTATTAATCAGGGCCGGTCCGACCTTCAATGCGATGCATGCGAAAAATACAATCGCACGCCTAAAGGGGCGCCAACACAAGATTCGGATATAAAATTTTCAATATATATTTTTTTCAATATATAATTTCTTTGCATCTTTTACTAATCTTGCCACAAGAAATTCACTTTATAACAACAAATGGGAAAGTGTAAAGATGAATACATACAATTCGGCCCTCACGATATCGATTAGAAAAAATTTCAGATGCAATTTTGGATATATTAAATAATAAAAAATTAAATTAATTGAATCCAACATGAAGTCCCAGTGTTATGTCATGGTCATGGTTATGTATGCCGTTTAAAAGACTCCAATTTCCAATATAGTGTGGGAATTGAGTTCATCATTTAATTTAAAGCAGTTCTACATTTAACATTGCTCATATTATAAATGTATATGCATTTTGGCGAGAAGAGTAATTTAAAAAAAACAATATATTATATTAAAAAATTGTAGACATGGATACAGGACAACGTCTGTCGGGCCATCTAGTACCTAATAAAACTTCTACAATTTTCAAACTTTCTAAACAATTACCCGTAATGACTTAAGTTATAGTTGGGTACTATTTTGTAAACGAATCTGCATACTTGGTTACCATTTGTTGACATTCAACTATATAATTCAAAGTAGAAAACATCTTACTCATTGATAAAAATCTGATAATTTTATGAGGTTTACAATTTGCCATATTTGTACAACTGATTCTTTGAAACGGCTGAAACTGCAGACTTAATTAACTATTAAGTATAACTATTTCTTATACTGTTTTAGGTTAAACAAATAGTCCGAAACTTTATTTTAAATTATCTATTGTTTCAGGAACAATTAGCCGAACTCGAAGCTGCCTTTGCAAAATCTCACTACCCAGATATATATTGCAGGGAGGAATTAGCACGGACAACAAAATTGAATGAGGCCAGGATACAGGTAATTTTAATATAAATAAATAAATATATATATATATATATATATATATATATATATATATATCTTACTACTACGTACTATGTATCTTACTATTTGGGTTCATAACAGTTCAAAAATTGCAAAACGCGATCGAGAGCAAAATAACCGGATATTACATTCAGCCAAATATATAAAATCTATCAAAAAACGGAAACTGAAAAATCAATCGTAAAATTGAATTTGAACAAAAATAGTCCCTCAATATAATTTAAAGTAACTCAGCAAAATATTTTGGTTGGTGCATTAATATATAAAGTTCTATAAAACAAGTAGCGATTTGTGTCGATTTGTCTTTATATTCTATGAATATAAAGATATAATTGTACATAAAATATTAATATATATATATATATATATATATATATATATAATATATATATATATATAGTAGTTTAGATTTTTTTATTTGACGTTGAAAGATATTCGTGAAAGGTTTTCAACCAATTTTAGAGAATTTGATGAATCTGTTCTTATTATTTTTAATCCTCTTTGAGTAAAGAAATGTAATTATGCCCTTTTAATACCTATGTGATACCCTTTTAATAATATTAATTATTAAAAAAAATCTGCAATTTTCTAATTGTGGACTTTTGTTGGTTTTGTTTAGTTTTTACTTTCTTTTCAATATTTATATTTGTGTTCACTTCTTTAATTTTTTATTTTCTATTATATTTTTGATTTTTTTATTTATTTTTAAAGTTTTTAATATTTTTAATGATTTTAATATTTTTAATATTTTTAATATTTTAAATGTTTGCAGCTAATTTTAGAAATTTTGATGAATCTATGTTTATCATTATAAATACTTTTAGTGTGAATAAATAAAATTCTGCCCTTTTAATACCTATGTGATACCTATGTGATAGTAATATTATCAATTACTAAAAAAATCTGCGATTTTCTAATTGTGGACTTTTGTTTGTTTGTTTTTGTTTACTTTTTACTTTCTTTTCAATATTTATATTTGTGTTCACTTATTTAACTTTTTATTTTTTATTATATTCTTGTTTTTTTATTTATTTTTATTATTTATAATATTTTAAATGTTTGCAGCCAATTTTAGATGTTTTGATGAATCTATGTTTATCATTTTAAATAGTTTTTGTATAAATAAATGTAATTTTGCCCTTTTAATATCTATGTGTACTTATAAAATTATCAATTAAAAAAAAAATCTGCGATTTTTTAATTGTGGACTTTTGTTGGTTTTGTTTAGTTTTTACTTCCTATTCAATATTTATATGTGTGTTCACTTCTTTATTTTTTTATTTTTTATCATACTTTTAATATTTTATATTTATTTTTAAAAATTTTAATATTTTGTTTTATTTTAGTTTGTTCTTTGTCCATCTTTGATCCACCTTGTTTCCAACCAGCTAGCATTTCCCAGAAATCGATCCTGAATCTGCATTTGTGAACCCCTTCATTTCTGTAATGGCAGAATTGTGCACTTACAATTTGTTAATCATGTGGCTTACTACATGATATTATTATTTAACTATTAACTATTTTATTATTATTTAACTATTAACTGTTTATTATTTTATTTTATTGGGTTTTTTTCAATAAACAATGCCTTTAAAATTAGTGTGTTGTTTTTTTCTAGTTTATATGTAGGTATTATTATTTTTATTTGTCAGATCTTCTAGCAATCATGTAATTATAAAGTTCGAAATTTTTGTCGTAGGTTTTGTTAACAAACTGAATGATGATACACTTACATCGTCGAAAGTACATAAGGGTTAATTAAGTACAACTTTGTATTTCGACTATTTGTCTGCAAATAAATATTTTAAGTATAAGTTTTTTTGTCGGACAAAAAACCTAAAGTTTATATATGCATATATATATATATATACATATATATATATATATATATATATATATATATATATGCCTAGGGTGCCACCGTGATAAAGATATTCAAACACTCGAGGCGTTGTATGACAAATTGAAAATAAATTGGTTCATCAACCCTGTACAAATTGCATATCTGTATATATATGTATATATATATAACAAACATGCTGTGTATAGGTAATTCTTTAAAAATATGGTCATTATAATTATAACCAAAAAAGTTTTCAAAACTTTTAAAGATTTAGAGATAAGTTAACAAGGTGCCTAATGTTAATACTAAACTCAATCATGTTTGGAATTATAATAAATATAAATAATATAGTCAAATTTTCAAATTTTCAATAATTTGTACAATAATTACCAGGCATCCATTAACTTTGAAAGAGTTTTAAATCATCTAAATTTTTATATATTTTGTACTAATGTAAGACTTGACTTCCATCTTCTAAATTCATCATAAAACTTGCATTCGAATGAGCTTCTCTTGGGTTGCCCCAAAAGATACTTGCAACCCCCCAGAGCAAAAAAGCAAAAAAAGAGAAAACGAAAAATAGAATGCCAGGGGAACAAAATTCCAAGTCAAGTAATTGGCGACTTAATTCAATCAAAGAATACTCTCTTCTGCGACAGACTTCAAGGGAAAACAACCCCTGGTACATGTGCTCGGAAAGACAGATATATGAAGTCGATTTTTATTCACTACGTACAGCTTGGGATACATACATTTATGAGGTTATAATTGTTAAATAATCAATTGTCAATATAATTATTATAACCAAATTTTAACTTACTAAAATATCCGAAAAGTGATAATATGCAATTATAAATTTCATAACAAAAGAGCAGATCTGGGATAAAATAGAAACGTTATGGTAATGGATCTACATTCTTAAGGGTCTACCTTCGTATGACGAACTGCTAAAAAGCTATGCATTTGCTGTGCCATCAGGCGTTTTACACATAAACCCTAACTTTACGTATGTGTTATAAAGGAGATGGGACAAAAGACATAAAGGACATAAAGTTGCACATATGATAAAATCGTTACTTGATGTCTGTGCATTTTGTAGATTAGATTTTATGTGTATAACGCCTGAACAGCAGGATTACATTTCTGACAAGTTCTTTGGTAAAAGTTTGAAGTTCAGGGTTGTTATGATATAGATTTAATGAGCAAATGAAAATGTTTATTTATTTTAATAATTAGATATTTATTTTAAATGGAACGAATAGCTTCAACAGATGCTTTTATCTAATCAATGATTATTCACATCAACGATTAAAGTAATATAAAAAGGATTTTAAAAAAATTCTAAAGGTTTTATAGAAGTATTCTAAAAGTTGTATAAATGATTCCTAGAGAATAGTTTTAAACCTCTATATTATATAGTATTATATTATATATAGTAATTAGTTTTTATCACATAAATGGGTTTTCATTAATCTCTAAGCTACTTTTATTGTACTGATACAGAATCTTGCTAATCTACTTTTCATTTACCCAGTAAATACAATATTTATATTATTATACAAAAAAATCAGTATTTATGTCGTTATTTTTATACAAGCGATCGGTACAGTAGTTTACTTTTTAATTGAGATTTTTTTAACTTTCTTAATTAGTATTAACTTCCCGTAGGGTAAGTTATAGTAATCGCAGAAAAATTGAAAATGAAAGTTTTTATATACTACGTTTCAAAGGTTTCTGAATATTTTGGCATACCTTAGAAAAAATGGATGTATTTGTGTGTGTATGTGTGTGTGCGGATACAAATGTTCGTCGACGATTTCGGGAAAACCGATCAACCGATTTGAATAATTCAAAAACATTCGATTTGTATTGATAAGGAGACGTGCTGATTAGTTTCTGGCAAAGGCAGGTCTAGCCGTTCCGAAGATACGGGGCAAAAAGTGCCAAAAACGGTAACTCAGTTTTTAAGAGAACGGAGCGTCCGATTTTAATAGTTTGAAAAACATTTTACTTGTATTGACAAGATGAAGAACCGATTATTTTTTTTGGAAAGGCAGGTCCAGCGGTTATAGACTCTCAATAAAAATAAGTTAAAAAAAAATATCATTTGGCGGTCAAAAACGTTTATTGGACATATGCACATCAAATTATCAGATATTTTATAGAGATTTTAATAATGTGTACACATTTTGTGTCAATTATTTTTGTTCCGTTCCGGAAAGTTCCAGCAATTTTCCTTGACTTAGTTGCCATTTGCAGCAATGAGGTGCTATATCAACTTGTAAATATATTTATGTTCTATATTTCCAAGTGTAAATGGTGATCACTACTGCTTGATATCAGTTAGTACGTAGCGCGTTATTTGAACCTACAACTTTGTGATTGCAAGGTTGTTTAACCCCTTAACCCCAATTTAAAAATATATAAAAATATTAAATTTGCTTTTATATTTTGAAGCTACTATTTTCTTATAGCTTTATATTGAATTTGGATGTCCATCTGACCATCTGTCAGAGTTCTTCTCAAATTGAAACAAAAGCATTCTGCAAAAGAGGAAGTATAATGTGAAAAGAATTCTGTACGTTTTTTTTGAAGATTGATAATTCTTATCAGATAATCGCATATTTGAAAATTCGTCAATATTGTTCAATTAATTAAAAACTTAACCAGTTATATTCAATACTTACAATCTAACTAAAGAGATTGCAATACTGTAATGTTCTTGATTTTGACCTGAGTCTTTACTAAACAAAAATATTGAGCATCAATTAGTATTGAGCTTCTTCGAACTATAAGAATTGCATTTGCTTTAATTGCCATCAGCAGAAATAGAAAAATCAGTTCCCGCATTTAAACTCTTTTGTACATGACTTGGCCATGCAAACAAAACTTTTTGCCAGTTAATTCATTAAATTACGAGTTATGTGTTTAACTATACAAGTACATCAGCTGATGAATTTTATTTTGCTCAAGTTTTCTGGTTTTCAAACAAAATGAGTACCTTGTAAAATTTCAAGCATATCAAAGCCAACTTGTGTGGAGAGTTTTGATAACCTATGATAATCTAATCAAGGACCAGATCCCTTGAAATCTAAAGTATACCTTTTTGGCATCCCTTGTAATTGAGCTCATTAGTGAACTATACTGCGCCCATTTTACGACAGTTTGGAATGGATACATTGCATAACTAGACACAAAAACATCAATGGCGAATGTTTTTGGAACACATCAAATTTCTTTTAACTAGAATCGATTTTGATCTTTTACTTATATATATATATATATATATATATATATATATATATATTGTTCTGGAAAAGTATTTTTCCAGTGTTATGTCTTAGTCTAACACAATGATGGAGTGCATTGGCTCTGTCCTTTTCATTCGCACTGTCCGACGAAAAGCGCTTGCGTCATAGTTTATCGACTTATGTAGAAAACAAAATGGTTTCCACTACCCCATGATGGGGTGTGCGTATA